AGGACACAAATCAGGATTCATTGCATTGCACCAAATCAATTGGCTTCAGAGGAAGGCCCTGCCACAGCAGGCTTTAGATAAGGAATGAGTTTGCTTATGTCCTACTGAGCTCTTGCACTTGGGAGCACCAGGAAGAGGAAATAGCATCATTAACATAACACATCCCAGAGATCAGCACTGCTCAGGAGGGACTGGCTGAATAAAATCTTGGTTTCAATGGAGGTGGCAGCAAAAACCTGATTGGAGAATCAGGAACTCCACAAATCTCCTTATCAGCAGCAGTCAGTGGAACACTGGTGTCGGCCTGCACTGAGAAGAGGACAGTCAATCTCCCAGACTGATTCTACACAGATGAAAGCGTAACAGTTCTTCAGCATCATCTCACAGCAGTTTCAACTGGAAATAACAAAACTACTTCTGCTGTTGAGAACAATTTCTTTTTTCCCAATTTTCTTTTTGCCTTCCTACTACTTTTTTTGGGTGAATATTCCTTTACCATATTCATTATACGCACCTTAAATAACTGAAAACTGCATTTTGGCAAAGAGTTCCATCAGTTTTTCTTGGGTTTAATTCAGCTTCTGAGCTCAGATTAACTAGCATAGGAGTCCCAGGGCACCTGCCATCTGCAATCAATTTCTCTGTGTCCAATGTCATTATTCCATTTGTTTCAATTTTGGTGAATCGTTATGATGGCTATTCCTTTTCAAATGCTTTATCTTGCTGAAGTACCCAAAATAAAGTTTTATATCAGAGTTAGATGACAGGTAGACTGGTCAGAAAGGCAATATTTTCTTTTTCAGTTCTCCGAGTGTTACATATCTTTGGCTGATGGAAGTAGCAGTGGTGTGATTCTCGTTGTAATTTGTGCAATACTGCAGTCAGTAATAGTGTCTTGCTGAAATATGCATGAAAAAGTCCGTAACATTAGTGTAATGGACACACTCCAACACATCTCTCTCATCCTGCTTCCTCATAAAGATTTTCAATGACTGTCTTAATTAGACCCTAATATGAACAGGAATATTACATAAAGTTAAATGAGGACATAAACTTCAGCTAAAAGCTACTTCCACCCAAGACCCTGCCCTCTGGTCTGTAGACACCAAATAGCTCTGGAACATTTTTGTTCTCCACCTTGGTTCCACTGACTGCCTTTTTTTTTTTTTTTTAAGCTTTCAGCAACAAATCAAGCTTTTTTTTCTGTAATAAAAACTTTCAAATCTGTCAGAGAAAACAAGGAATTACTTTGCTTAGGTCTGATTCACAATAATCTTGATTACTGCTCTGGCATTTCGTTGATTAAACCACTAGGAAACTAATGAGAAAATGTACAATACAGTAGATTAATTTGGTTACTTCCCTCTTTTCTTTTTCTTTTCTTTTTTCTTTTTTTTATGATGTCTATTTTGTCCTAATGAGCTGTTACAGAGGAGTTCAAACAGAACGCTATTGCTGAAGGTCACTGTACGTTTCTCCATTCATTACCTAGAAGCTATTTTGGACTCTTGAAGTAGCATCCACACACACTTTCTAAGCTGTCCCATTACAGTCATCCCTGTAAAGCAGATACATGTATAAAGTTCTGGCAAAGCAGTGCCACTTAGTCAGGATCTCCCTTACACAGTAATGAAGACCAAGTGGAGACTCGTGCCTGCATTGTTCTGTTAAGTTTCCTCTTTCCTTCTCATATCACAGCATGCTCAGTCAAAGCTATTTTGGTGCTTCACTGATCAAACTGATTTTTCCCTTTGATGATAATATGAAATATGATAGGATAATAGGGTTGTTATATAATCAAAGTCGACAGCAGGGAGCTAAATTTGTGTTGTTTTGATGAAGAGCACGTTAGTGTGACATAAATAGACTAATCTGATTTATTATTATTATTTCTAATGCTTAATAATAGAGAAGGGTAGGGGAAATGAGACTCTGGGGAATGAGAGTGCATCACAAAGTGATAGCAGACATTAGGATGTCTAGTCATAAGCAGCACCACTACTACCTGCTTCTAGCTGAGTTTCAAAGGAGTGAGTAGCAAGCAAGAGAAGTTGTTCTGAAAGAAATAGTGTCTTAAATGGAATAAAACAAATCAGATACTAGAGAAAATATTCTGTGAAAAGCAGTGTTGTAGGAAGAAAACTGTTATTCATACAGGGCAATAAGGAGTCACAGATGGAATTGACAAAAGTCAACTCACCTTTCACTGACTGATTTTTCATGTCTAACTGAAAAGCTGGGATTAACCCGGGATGAAAGCTTCCCTTTCATGATGATGTCTGTTCCAGTTCCAGACAGACCAAGTCAGTATTCACACATCAGTCAAGAGCCACGAAAATGACTAAAGAGAGAGACATATTTTGCCTGGTGTACTGATGTTTACAGTGTGATGTCTACTGAGTTCTTGTGCCTCTGGCTGCTCACAAAGCAAAGTCCTGCAGGAGTCTCCTTGTAAAGGAAAGAGTTTCCATGCCACTTCAAAATCCTATGTGTAACAAAAGAACAGATTGGACAGAACTGTGGGCTCTTCAGTCAGAAAATAAAAATAAAAAAACATATTTGAAAATCCCAGAACTTTATACAAGGAATGCAGATACATTCAAGCAAAACACTTTCCCACATACACACTCATTACAGCTTTTAGACTTAAAAGTATGGCTATGGACATCTACTCTGGCTCCTTCATATCAACATATACAGATTTCTTCAACTACTTCTATAAACTTCAACTAAGCTAAAGCAGAGCTATTATAAAGCCACTGAGTTTTAATGTAAAGAGTCTAAGTGGCAGATAACCCACGACATGCTGAGGTAAGTTTCTCCCCTGGTTAAATACCCCAAGTATTAAAATTTACTCTTCATATGTGGTTGCAGAGGGAAGATTTAGTAACAAATCAAATAATGTATGTGAAGTTTTGAACATGATTTACAGGACATTTAAAGACTATTTTTACATGCGGCAGAAATATCGATTTCTTCTTAAAGGAAGAGAGAAAAAAGGTTAACCAATGTTTTATAAGATGAAACTGCTTTTTTTCTGTTTAAAGGTTTCACTAAAAGTTCTGTTACAAAAATTCTCCTTTGCCAGGCAGACAGAATTCCACCTGACACATGATATAGACGTCTAAATTCCAGGCATTGGTTTTCTTATCTCCATAGCAGCAAAAAAGATCTGCATTTATTTGCACTTCAGGGATGACACAGGCAAAGATGAAGCAAGTGAATTTGGAGAGCACTGTGAACCCCGTGGGCTACTCTCACAGGAACCAGCTTCTAGGTAGTAAACACTAGAGGGGGTTTAACACATCCTGAAACTGCTTTTTTAGGTATGTTTGCTTCAATCCTTTTACCATGAGCATTTGCCTTAGGACACGGTACTGGCAGCGCAGCATTAATGCCCCCAGCATGCCCCACACATTACTCTGAAAAAGTCCATCCTCATCGATCCTCATTAAGAATCCTAAGATGTTTCTTCACTAACCTTAATGGAGGATTTCATGCCACAGCAATTTCTAAGCTCAAAGGAAGCTGCATAGAGGAGTCAAAGTCATGGATAACTTGCTTTTCATTTACTTGTTGAAAGGCAGACGTGAAGAACATGAATATATTTGATAGTTAATAATTTAAAGCCAAGTAGAAGAGAATAGAGGAGGAATGACATTCCTTATTTCTCCCTATTAATGCTCCTTATAGGTTCCTCTTTGAAAGGATATCAACATCCATCAGCACACAGAGCTCAGAGCTGTGCACACACCATCTAGTTTTAAGGGTAAAAAAAAGGATTATTGCTTTTACACTGAGAGCACGAAATGGTAGAATTGGCAGGAAGTGATTAGTGCCAAAAAGAGATGGGGTTTGTATGGCAAATTAACACAGAAAGCAATTCAAAAGATAGAATTAAATCAGAGACAAAGGTGCAGGTTTATAAAACTCCCAGTCCTACCCTTGTAAAATCAAAGATAAATCTCCAAAAGCACTAAATCCCATGTAATCATTGCAAATTCCTATTGTCTTAAAGGGGAGCTGGATTAGGCCTCTAATTCAGTTCTATAAAGTCTGTTTGGTCCAGATGAACAACCGAGAGATGGACAATGTCCAAGGAACAGCTCTACAAACATGGTCTCAACATCCTCCACCACAACTTGCCAAGGCAACCACTCCCACTGTTACCCTCCAAACACTAGAGTAAAGCTATTTTTGCCCATTACTGCTAAATGCATTTTGCCTTTGCCTAGCAAAAAAAGCAATGTCACATCTAATCTCACAAGTTCCCAGTGAGCCAAACACAAGATACTGTCCCTTGAATTCTTCCTGAGACCAACAAAGGCTTTCCATTATTTACAAATCAAAAGCATTTAGAGACAATCATCTTCAGTTTTTATTTAAAACAAGGAATGCCCTGTCACTGTTATATAAGAAAAAATATACATCCTCCTATTTATACCCATCTTAACCAAGCATTCCAAAAAATATAATTCCTATTCATGCAGGTAATTGCTGCATAAAATAATAATAATAATAATAATAATAATAATAATAATAATAATAATAATAATAATAATAATAATAATAATAATAATAATTTATAAATAAAATTAAAATAACAAAATACACTCTTTTGTTCCAACAATTCTCCCAATTTATCTTAAAAATTCCACTTTCAAATTGTTGGAACAGTTGAAAATTTTAAAATTAAATATAGTTAAATCAATAGGATTATTTGCTTTTGATTATTAATTCCATTGCTAGTTTTTCTTGTGTTTTATTATGCATACCAGTTTTACAAAGTGCATGCTTTATTTTTTTTTTTAATTTTGAACTGGCAAGCTAAAATGATCCATCTTTTCCTGCCTTTTTTAAATGTTAATACAATCTAAAATCTAGCATTAAAAAATTTATCATGATACATCTGGTATATTGACTGCTTATGGCGCATGCTCGTCTTGGCAAAAAAACCCCAAAATAAATTGGCTCCCCTCCCACCCTCCCTTTTTGGAAGCAATCTAAAAAGCAGGCTGGAACACAATTGCTTCAAGGGCAAAAAAAAAAAAAATAATACCTGATGCTTTAATTTTTGTCACATGGCACTAGTTGTGGAATTGCACACACACACGCACACACCCGACACACACGCAAAGCACACACCCACGCTGCAACCTGCTCGTGAGGAAAAAAAGTTTGTTAGGTCAGGAGTGCCAGTGGCACATGAAGGCTCCCAGCTGTGTGTGCAACTTTGGATTTGGTACCCACTTCACGTCACCTTGAATCCTCTGACATCCACCGAGGGGGTAATGTAAGGCATACTTTGCTGGAACAGTAATAATCCATGCTTCATGCTCAAGAGCTGAGTCTCAGAGGAGGATTGGCTTGCTCTACTCCCTTTGGCCTCACTCTGTCTCACTCAAGGAACAAAAGAACCCAAAACAACAGAGAAGAACTGGGGAAAACAAGGAAAGCAAAAGACAAATCCCTTTAAATGGACTTTCGCCGTTTCATCAGCCTGTGGTTATCTGTAAAGCTGTGCAACCCAGGTGAGATGGAGCTGACAGGAGATGGGAAAAGGCTGTTTTTTAATGTGCTTGGCGAGATCTCCTCTATCTTGTAAGAGATGGAGTGAAAGTACTGGGGGTTCAGCTTTGAGCTGAAAGAATTTTGGTGGGACACCACCCGGCTGGTGTACTCGTGGGACCTGTAACACATGCAGGAACAAACTGACTGAAGGTCTGTTACTTCGGCCTTGTACCGTGGCCGACCATGCTGGGAGTCCTCTTGGATGTGGATAATCATGCTGTTGCGGTTCCCTGCCAGGGACGCCCGTTCCTCAGCATCCCGCCTCTCATCCTCACTGTTCATGGTCAAGAACCTGAGAACAACCAGATTTAGAAATGCCCCAATGACTGTCAACCCCACTAGAATGTACATAAAGCTAAAAGCCACGTAGAGAGGCTTCTTTTGAAGGGCCCCTTTGGTCTGCAGGGCCACATAGTCTCCAAACCCTATCGTAGTCAATGTTATAAAGCAGTAATAGTAAGCATGGAAAAAGCTCCATTCCTCATACTGGGAAAAGGCTGCTGCTCCAATGCAGAGTGTCCCCATGCAGGAGAAGAAACCCACAGTGACCATGTTTTCCATGGAGACCTCGGTGCTCCTCATCCCACAGCACTTTTTGATGCGTTTCAAGAGGTACTTGACAAAGGTGTTCATGCGCTCGCCCAGGCTCTGGAACATGACGAGTGTCAGTGGGATCCCCAGGACCGCGTAGAACATGCAAAAGGCCTTCCCCGCGTCCGTCCCTGGGGCAGCATGTCCGTAACCTGGGAGGGGGGATGAAAACACAGCACAGTCAGCAAGGCAGGTGATGACTACAGTTCCCCCTTCACACAAGCCACGTGAATCACAGAGGCTCTGATGCCACAGCCAGATCCAAAGCTACAGGAACACTGCAGTCACACGATCTTCTGATACCTCCTCCCCCACATCCTGTGTCTGAAGTAAATAAGACACAACAAAGTTGTTCACACAGAAATGGGAAAGAGGAAAGAGTGGGCAATCTCTCCTACCTCAAACAATGTTCAATCTCCTAAACAAGATTATATCACATTAATTCACTGAAGAAGTTTCATGTCCATCCTGTATCACATGCAATAGTGGAAACTTTGGAAATAGATGGACTTTCCTGTTGTGTTTTTGAGAGTAGTTGCCCTGTCCCAAAACCAGAGTACACTCATGGCATTCAAGTTCTGTGTCTGCTGATAGTGTGGAGTTACAACATCCACAGATGCACGAACCAAATAAATTCCTTTTCAAACTCTTCCATACTGAATAAGCCTTTCTCCTTGACATCTTATGAAAGTCATTGCTGGAACACCATAGGAGTTTAGGGATTTAATGTTTTTTCTGTCTTTCATTACTGAAGAATAAACAACTTATCAGCTTGTTCCATAGTTTTGCAGCTTTGACAGAATTGCAAAGTCAATTTCACCAGGATGTTAAACTAATCCAGGAAAGAGGATGTACCACATTTTACAGCATAGTTTACTGATGACAAAATCATAGCTAAGTCTTTATTCTAAAACAAACCATAAATGGGGGGCTGTTTTGAAATCATAATTTCACTTTTTCATATCACACTGCTTTAAAAATCTACATTCCTTATAGCTGAGGTTCTGAGGCATGGTACCAAGTCTCCAAAATGGGATGGCTGGGACCCACCTGGCCATGGTATGTGTTGACCATATGGGTACCACTATCTAGAGTCCCTTTAAAGTCTGTGAGTAGAAATAATGTACTTCAAAAAGGCAGCTCCTCTTGTGTACACAGAAGTGTCTAAAACAGTCAATAAGTTATTCTCAGTAGACAACTATTTCTCTACAATCATTATAATAGAAATCTTGGGACAGAACTCAATTCAAGATTAATATATCTAAAATAATATATTTGCTGCTCTGAATTTGTCTAATCCTTTTTTGAAACGGTTGACACTGCATACTTCCTCAATCTCCTGTGGCAACAAATTCCAGAAGTTCACTATCTGCAATGTAAAAAAGGTATTTTATAATTTCAAGCAGATCTCCTTGTTTCAGCTAGTGCCCCTTAGTTCCAGTACTGAAGTTCTACATCTACCTTATCTACCACAGCCATTTCAACTCATATAGCAGAAGTCACATTCCCTGGAACATTTCAATGTCCTTGTCTGGATCTTCCGTAGCTCTACCACATCATTTTTGAGTCCAGGAACCAGAACCCCGCATACCCCTCACGATGTGGATGCACCACAGAGTCTGCAGTTTTAACTAGAACTAAAACATGAACACAAGGATTTAACCTTCAAAATGTAAAGCAACAGGGGACAAGGAAAATAAAACAAGAAAGTCAGACAAGAATTCCCTCCAAAAAGCAACAGGTATTTCCATAGCTCAGTTGCTAGTTGTTGACAGAAGGCTGGGATGTAAAAATGAATTTATAAAAGAAGCACAGAACTCAAAATAGGAGGTTCTTTTTTCAGGTTACAAAAGAAAGAGATTCACCTGTTGTATTGAGCCAGGTAGCCTGTTCATCATGAAAAGCAGTTTCCAAATTACCTGGAAAGGGAAGTGTCTTCAATAGATTGATGATGGGTTAGTTCTACCTGACTGTCCCTCAATAAAGCCTATAATTGCCTCTCATTACTAAGACCAGCTTTTGAACTACAGGGGTGTTAATTAAACCAGGAACATCTTCCCATTTTATTGCTTTAGTTACAGATGATAAAGAGAAGGAAAGCTTCAGAAAATGTGATTTTCCAGATGGTTGCAGAGATAGCAGTTGGCGGAAACAAGTTTCACTTTGGGTTCTAAAAAAATTATTGGAGTGAAAAAAGATTTCTTTTGATATCACTATATCCTTCTCACTAAAGATATCCCCAGAGACACTTTAGGGAGATTATAAAACATTAATATTATATGCTTATACACTATCTCACAATTGAATTTCTAAGATTTGTCACAGACTTCGTAATTATATATCCGATAAGATAGGAATATATCCATATCCCTGTGTTACAGATAGGGAAGCACAGACACCAGCAGGCTTTAATTTCCCTCCAATTCACATAGGTAGACAGAATATCCAGAAATTTTGATTTCTATTCTACCCCAAGTCATTCTCACTTTCCCTAATATCAGATGAATGTCTTTTTTACTGTTTTCTCACCATGAATCTGGGGTGAAGAAAGGACTTTATTCATGAAGCTGGAATAAGACTTTACAAATAGATTCATGTAAGAGGATCAGAGTCACATCTTTCTCCTATACAGCACAGTTTTAAGGAATAGGCACCTTAGTCATTGCCTTCAACTCTCTGAAATAAGGGAATACAAGAGAAAATACATCAAAGAAAGACTCAACTCTCTATCCAACAATATACAGAGTAACTCATGGAAAGCAAACTGCGGCAGTGAATGCTCTCTGAAATTCAGTAAATTTCAAATCTAGAACAAATCACTGTTTTCTTAACATCAGAAACTGCCTCTGGAAAAAATGGGAAGGCTGGTAACCGCCAGAGGAAGAGGGGCACAAGGGATCATTAACACTAGGAAAGGACACAGTTCATGGGGTCAGTCTCCAAGCAGCTGGGTTTTACTTGCGTCAAGTAAAGGCAGAAGCAACTGCCTTGGAAGCAGATTCCAGCTACCTGAATTCATCCTAATTTCCTCTGCATGAATGCCCCTGCCCTTTAGCAGAGTATAAAGAGATGACTCTGTGTCATCCATAAGAAACACAAGGTTTAAAGAGAAATGGAAAGGTTAAGTGTGACATCAGGTTTTCTTTCTCTTCTGTGGTGAAGAAGATTGAATAGAAGACCTTAGAATTGAGTATAGGAAATGCATCCCCTGACAAACTGAGATAATGAGAAAGGTATAGATGGAGTTTTTCATTGGACCACACCTAGGTAAATACTGTCTGTACTACTCTAGTAGGAGTTTGCCAAGGTTCCCACAGTACAGCAGTGTGACCACAGCCAGTAGGTTTGTCTGATATTTAATTAGATGTAATTTGAATGATCAAGGACAGACTAAATTACTCTCACCTAGATTGGAGGCAATGTCATTAGTTCTCTCTCTGTCTTTTATAACGCCTCCCAGCTCCTTAGGCCTTCATGACAGAGCTTATCTGGGTTGGCATCAAGAAGAACAGCTTGGCAAGAAGAAATGTCATGTCTTAGAGTGTTGCTCCAGTTCTGGACTGTGGAGCACCAATACACCACAAAAGCCATCTCTCCCAAGCCATGGAATGGCTGGGATACAGAAATCAAGCAGAACTGCAGGAAGGTATAGGTAAGGGAGAAAAAGAATCAGACTGTAAGGGCTGACACCAAACGGGTACTCTGTTGAGGTCTTCCCTGCCTTTGATTTTTCCAGGCCTTGTCCGTTCTCTGATGGAAAACTCTCAAAGATTCTGACCCACTCAACCTTCTTCAAAGCTTATTTTTCCATGGTGCCTTTTAGACAAGACTCAGAGTGAAACTCCTCATTACAATCTCCGTGAGGTCCATTTGGAGGGACAACCCCAACAGCTTTCTCTTTCTTGTAAAGGGACATTGTGCTGGTGTACCAGCCCACTACCAGAACGTGCAGAGGAACACAGCACACAGGTACCCTGAATCCAACAGTGATCACAAGCAGATGGCTGAGGAAGAGTATAAGAATAGTATATATACACGTGACTTTTTCCCCACGAATTCATATACCCAGCTTCATTATTTGGTGCTCAGGGATTTCCTAAGTCAGACAAGGTTTGGCTGATTTTAGCAACACACAGTGGATTTCTCTTCCATGAGTTTGGGCATTGTCCCTTCAACGTGTACGAACCTCCTCCACCTGCAACATCCTGTGGCAAGAAGGTTCATAGATCGACCATGTGTTCTTTGAAACACCTGCCATTGCTTCTTAACTTCTCTTTCATTACTATCAACTGATGGTAATGTTATCTCCTCCTCTATGGAAGAGACCAGGAACAGTCATTCCCTATTCCCCTTCTTTGTGCCATTCATGATTTTATAGACATTTTATCAACAAATATGCTGTGTTGTATTCAGGCCCTAAGCAAGTATCCCTGGCACTCTGTAGCCTCATGTGGACAGACCAGCTTGCTTAGATCTACATCAGTGATCTTTGCACCACACTCAGATGCAGGGTACAGACAGGTCTGCAACATCTGCCTTGTCCTCCAACATAGATTCTCTGGAATAACACTCTGCTTCTGGGGCAAAAAGGGTCTTGATAAACAATTTCATGCTACTGCAATGATGTAGACTGCCCAGAATAAGTCAATCCATAACAAAAATAAAATATAATGGGAAAAAAATTTGGAATAATTTCAATGTGTTGCATCTACACAGTACTGCAAGGCAGTATCTACTCTAGAAAACTAAACTGGCCTGAAGTCCTGCCAGGGGAGGTTTAGGTTAGATACTAGAGAAAACTACTTCATGGAAAGGGATGTATAGCATTGGAACAGATTGCCCAGGGAAGTGGCAGAATGTTTAAAAAAATGTGGATGTGGAACTTGAGGACATGGTTTAATGTCTTCAAGTGGTGCTAGGTTGACAGTTGGACTTCATGATCTTAAAAGTGTTTCCCAGCCTTAACAATTCTATGATTCTGAGGATGAATTCCACTACCAACCCATGATGCCTCACTCTTAAATCATCAGCACAGTTCCCATTATGGCTTCACCCTGGAATAACCAGTACTGTCCCAGACAAAGCCCATGCCTGATCTACCCATGGAGGTTGACACTGGCCAGGGACAACTGCAACTAAGCACCACGCTGGA